AGGGGCCAAAATCTAAAATCCAGCCTAAATCGCGGGCCGAATGGTTTACTGAACAGTCATAAACTGTCATTGTGATGGAAACGCAGTGGAGTGCAGTGATGACAGCGCGGTGCGGGCCACATTGCAAGGCCTGGCGGGACGGATTTGGCCCGCGGGCCTTGTGTTTGACACATGTGAGTTAGTGGCATCAGGCAGACAGGCAGAGGGGTTAGGGGTAAATCAGGCAGGCAGGCAGGCAGGCAATCGGTTAGGAGCCAGAGGTCTTGGATTGGGAAAGGAATGTCCAACTGCCAGTTTAGGCCTCTGAGATTGGGCCTAAACTAGAAGTCGGACATCCCCCGAGAGGTCCCGAATTGAGAGAGGGTGCAGGCCAGGCTGAGAGACACCCCCCCCCCACACACACACACACCCTCGTGCAAGAATTTTGTGCACCGACCCATTAGTTAAATTAATAAGTCCTCATTCCCAAATCAGTTTCACCTTTCAATATTCTTCTCCTGTATATCAAGGGTGAGGAACATTGGCCTAAGGGCCATATAAGGCCCCCCAAATCATTTGGTCTGGCCCTGCCAAGGCATTAGGGGTGAGTTAATTAAAGGTTTGACCAAACATAGCAGGCTAATTTTTAAGTTGATAATTTTATATCGCCCATGAATGATGTTAATGGCCCTTGGCAGAAAAAGTTCCCTACCCTCACTATATCAATCTATTATAGCAAAGGTGATGTGACAGAGAGGTTTTGGGAAAATATTGTCTTGATTCTTCTTTTTATTTGGTGGGGGAAAAAACAACAATCTACTTAGGTCAATTATTTGTCATTTTTAAACATTGCATTTTTAAATAAATACTTCTTGGTCTCAGCCAGACTTCTTGCAGTCATCAGTAGCAGAACTCTGAATCACTTTCTGCCTTTGAAGCATGCCAAAATAGCTTTTGAGTCAGTGACAGCTGCTGCTTATGTAAAAAAAAAAAAAAAGATTTTTTTTCTTTATAAATAAATCAAATTACTTCCCCAAAAAAGTGATGGGAAAGAAATGAGATTAACCTTTTAGGAGTAAAGTTAGGCTTTAATAATACTTTCAAAAATGGTTTTTCTAACATCTTATTCCACTGAAATTATTTACCAAATCAAATAAATACCATCAGTCATTACAATGTTTCACATGCCTCTGGGGCCACTCACAAAACCATTTCTTGCTTAAACTCTTCCCTTCTCACTCACTGCTTCCCTCCCAGGTAGATAAGCTTCTCTCAATGTACGTATTTTCTGTTTCCTTTGTAGATTTGTTCTTCCGCTCATGCCATGCATATGGCATTAGTTTCTCACTCTCTACTGTCTGAATGAACTCATTCATAGCCTGTCCTCAGCAGCCATGATATTCTGATGACTCCTAAATACATAGTATCAACCCAGACCCTCTGCTGAACTTATTGGACCATGCATATCAACTGCTTGTTACACATTCCCACCTGGATGAATTTCCAAGAGAGCATAAACCTATTCCATAAAACCCAAACTATTTTCTATACCTTGGAATAACATCTGGGATGGACTCTTGGGTATAGTCCTCTGCTCACTTTTCTTCATCACCTCCTGTCCAATGAGTTATCAGGTCCTGTTATCTCTACTTATTAAATATATGATTCATTATACAAGCTCCACCGCTACTGCCCTGACTTAGCAGTGGAGGTGCTCATAATTTTTTCCTAGGTTTCTGCTGTATCCTCCCTTCCCCCTACACAGCTTATGATGACAGTTTCACACTGTCTCCAAACAACCCTCTCTTCTGCCTTCAAAATCATCTTTCTAAGACAATTACAATAAGTTATGTTATTCCCTTTCCTTTTCAGAACAAAGTCCAAAATTATTTGCCTTGTCATCCAAGGCCTTCTGTGATCTGGCTTCTGAATTTGCAATGTTATCTCCCACTCTTCCTCTTCTAACTCCTAACATTCAGTTCCCACAATGCTCTTTGCTCAATTTCCTGCTTTCTTTGTCCACATTGTTCTCCCTACCTGGAGGCCCTTCTCTTCTACATCTTCCACTGGCTGGTCCCTCATTTGCCTTCAGGATTCTAGTCACCTGTTGTTTCCCCTAGTATTTCCCTAGGCCTTCCCAGACTCAATCAAAGGCCCCTTGCTCTCCCGCTTCACCCTTGCCTTTGTCATTCACACCACTGTTACTCTGAGTTATAATTATGTCCCTCTTTTCTGTCTGTCTCCCCAGTATTAAAGACAGAGACAGCATCTTTCCGATCTTTATGCCTAGTTTCAAGTATAATGCTTCATCCAAAATAGGTAAATATAGAAATTTAAATGATGGCTTTGTTATGAAAAAAACTATGCTGCCTTAGACCACTAAACATCAAGTCTTTATTCTTATCTTAATAAATCATCAAATATATATTAGTGATTGTACTTATTGTGCTAAAGTTTTGTTGTACTCCTCAAAGTTCATACTTTGTGTCAGAAGCTGCTGAGGTATTTAATGCTCTGCCTTTGTTGTAGATTTAATGTTTCAATGCATGGCAGTTTCATTGAAACATAAATAAAAAACTTATATATTTTATGAGAACTCTCAAAGATAGGAGAACCTAGACAGTCATACAAGCCTTGTCTTCACTGTACTCTTTTTTAATTTTTTAAGCAGTAAGGATTGCACAGTTTGTAACAGGGCTTTTGTCAAAATTATCAGGTCAAGTCACTTAAAAAGAGAGGGTATTTTTCTTAACTTGTTAAACACAATTAGGGGCCATCCATCACTCTCTCTGTGAAGGTTTCCATTTTGACCAGCATCTAAAATGTACTAAGTTCACCTGATCATTATCATCAATGGGAATTTGATCTCGGTGTTCCTTCTTTGTTTCAGTATGAAATAATGAATATTACAGTTAATTGGAGAAAAATTGCACTTCTGAACCAGGCATGTTCAAGTCAATTTAACCTTGTACATTTATCACAGATAAGCTCCCTAAAAGATTGAATAAGTAAAGCTATTTTCCGAGTTGGATTTCATTTTGTTAAATGGAAAGAATATACTTTCTGCTATAAATACTGGTAATTTCGTAAGTTGTTATTTTAGCAAGACTTGTCTTTTATATTATGTGTTTCATAATTTCTAGTCCTTAATAATCCCAGGATGCAAAACAGATTGTAAAAAAAAGGATAAAATAAATACAAATATGGAAGTATAAATCAAATCTGTTTTTTTAAAGAACAAATGAAATAATTTACGTAATTTTATCACATTTTAAAAACTGCTCATAAACTAACATAAGCCCTAGGATAAACAATATAAAGCATAGTGTGTCAAATATTTAATTTTGTATAATAGTTTCTATAAAAAGTTATAATATTGATTAAGAAAGGTACAGGTAGTAAAAATATATTAGGGAAGATAGTGATAAATGCTAATCTTTAGTACATCTGATTAATTGAACCTAATTTACTATGAGTCTGCCATTTTTCGTATATGTGAAATAATAATCTTATATGTCTCTAATAACAAGTGAAATATATTCTGGACACATATACTTGACAAATACATATTAGTTGATATGTAACATATATATGAAATGTATACATTTCTACCATTCACATGAAGATGGGACTATGTGAAATATATGGAGAGACGATAACCTTTTCTGCCACTGACCTTGAGATGATTAACAGAATCAGGAAATGTCTTTGGCCCTTGAAATTTAAGAAATTAAGCTTGTATTGGTTTTTTGTTTTAGTTTGATTTTTTACAGAGAGGAAGGGAGAAGGATAGAGAGTTAGAAACATCGATGAGAGAGAAACATGGATCAGCTGCCTCCTGCACACTCCCTGCTAGGAATGTGCCTGCAACTAAGGTACATGCCCCTGACCAGAATCGAACCTGGGACCCTTGAGTCCACAGGCCAATGCTCTATCCACTGAGCCAAACTGGTTAGGGCTGGTTTTGTTTTTTAAATTGGTCACTTGTGGGTGTACTTAATGGATTCACAGGGGAATATATGATGTTATTAAATAGCTCGGTGGAAAGTGATTGATGTCCTAAGACAGTAATTTTTCTCAGTACTTATAATAAAATATTTCCTCCACTCTCATTGTTTTAGCTGCATTACAATGCATTCTTAAAGTTTAAAAGAATTGCAATTCAAACAACTGCTATACATTAAAACAAAAGGAAGACTCTCCAAATTATTACTAGATTTACAAATAATTACTAAATTTATATTTCTAGCTCAATATTTCTCCATTATTCTAATTTACATGTCCAACTACTATCTGAATGTTCCAGAGTTCCCTCAAATATATCCAAACTTACTATTTATCCTCTAGCCTATTTCTCCTTCTTTATTTTATCATATTAATGTTGTTACCATCATCTATTATTCATGTAAAATAATGGAAAATCTATTTGCAACTTTCTCCTCTTACCTACATATAATCATTTGCAAAATTTCTTTGATTTTACTTTTTAAATATTTCTTTGATGCACTCTGTCCTCTCTACTCCTACCAGTTTATGGTTATGTCTTAACGAATTGAGCTCCTCAACAAACTGATTATATTCTGCCTGGAAATCATCTCTTTTTCTTATAGTGCATTTTTCCTGATCTTCCAGTTGCCTGGTATACTCTCTTAATCTTTTCTATCATTGTACTATGAGCTTGTTTCTCCTGTTGACTTATGAGATTCCTTTAAGGGCAAGGATTTTGTATTACCCACCCATGTAACCTCAGCATTTTAATGACCAATACATAAATAGTTCTCAATAAATGAGTTTTAAATGAGTGAGTGGTGGACAATTGATTCAATTAGCTAATTCCCAGAATTCTAAGTCACAGTGACTATTTTTAATGCTTTCCAAAATTGCTGATTTTTAATGTACAACGTATTAAAATTGAAAATATTTTATTATTCTACTCACATTTATTTTAAAATTTCTATATATTTTAACATTTTTAGCACAAGTGATTTTGTGATCATTTTGTTCTTTAATTTGTTTTGTAGGTTTTAGAAACTTACATATTGATGACCAGATAACTCTCATCCAGTATTCTTGGATGAGCTTAATGGTGTTTGCACTAGGTTGGAGATCCTACAAACATGTCAGTGGAAAGATGTTGTATTTTGCACCTGATCTAATAATAAATGAGTAAGTAGTAACTTTTTTGTAGTTCTTATTAACATAAGTATGTATGTAGGATAATCTTGAAAATTACATTTCAATAGATAATCATACATTTAGTGTGCTAAGAGTTTCTTGAAAGATCTCTCAGAATTACCTCATATTGATTGATATTATTGCATATCAGTTTTAGCTTGAAAATATTAATATAATTATATCATTTTATCAGTTAATTTGATATTTGGAAAGTTTTTCTTTTGTTTCAATGTATAGCAGTTGTTTGAAGTGCAATTTTTGTAAACTTCAAGAATGCATTAAGAAATATACTTAAAGACAAAATTAAATGTTTATCAAATTAAAATTGCTTTGATGCTAATGAAGATAATGAAGTATATTATAAATAATTTGCTTGAAAGTATTGATTTACCTTCAAAAGGTAAAAACATCTCTCATTAGAGGAAAAATAACACTGAAGGTTTTGTTTTAATTGAAAGATAAATATTCTAAATTGCTTGATTATATTTAAATTTCTGTAATTAATATTCTACATATAACCTTTAAATAAGAATCTTTTCATGAAAATAATTTCACTATTTTAATGTTTAATGTTGACTCAGAACTATATAACATTAACTTATATAAATCTTGACAGTTTATAGATAACTTATGTATATTGTAATCCATTTTATATTCTATTATCCTTTGAAATTGATAAGGAATTGATATCCATTATTTTACAGCTCAGAAAACTGAGGCTCAGAAGAATTGCATTAACATACCTAAGGATCTGAGTGTCAGTCTCAATTAATCTTCACTCTTCTGAGTCAAAATCTAGTTCTCACTATCCTTGTTAGCACCATGCAACTAATGTGAATATTACAAAGCAGTACATGGTTGAGAAAATAGTTTTTAAAAATGTCCTCAACCTTCAGAATTTGTATTTGTCTTTGTCAATTATTTAATTCTCCCTAATGTTCTTTTTTCTGTATCATCATACATTTCCCCTAGAATAGCTCACCGTGTAACTAGTGCATACAGAATACTCTGAACTGCACACACTAAACTGTTCTATACTTTCTGTGACATAAATCCTTTCTCCTATTGGATTGCACACAAAAATTCATGTTTGTTTGTGTTTGTTTTGTTTTGTTTTTTCACAGAAAGAATCCATAAGTAAATAAATTATTTCCTAAGCATTCTTTAGTTCCACATTTTCAACTCCTACAACTTCTAGGTTTAGGTTTCTAAACTGTGATGAAGAAATATTAACCTTGTTCAATGTGTATTTACTATGATTTTCTAACTTTAAAATTTCTTAACCTCAAAAATTCAGCATTGTGAAAAAATTTTTATGTTTAAAATTCCAAATAGTATTGAGTTTCTTTATGAAAAATTATTTTAATAATAAATAAGGTAATTACTCATATTCTGTAAAAATATTATTATTTTAATAATAAATAAGGTAATTACTCATATTCTGTAATAAATTACATAAACTGGCTAATATACCTGTATGAATTTTTTTCCCTGTTGCTTTTTCTTCTGGGTGTTATGTATGATGGAAGACAGCGGATGAAGGAATTATCATTCTATTCATTATGCCTTACCATGTGGCAGATTCCACAGGAGTTTGTGAAGCTTCAAATTAGCCAAGAAGAGTTCCTCTGTATGAAAGTATTGCTACTTCTTAATACAAGTGAGTATAAGTAACATAATATAAAATACTTACTTTTTTATTCATTATGAGAGTTTCAAACAACTGTATGATCATATGCTTACACGGGAGGTATGAATCTTCTATTGTAACTGCAAAAGAGAAAAACCCACTCTGCTGTCACAGACATTGATAAAGTTTCATCCTTTTTCTTAGGTTTTACTTAACACATAATACTAAAATAACCTATCAATACAACCAATTCCATTTTTTTTATAAAACAGTAAATGATTTTTTTAATGTTCACACATTTAGGCTATTATAAACTAATTAATATCACATAGAAACAAACTATGCTTCTCTCTACCCTACCCCACAAAGGATTTACTATATAAACTACACAATTTTGTTTGGAATTATTCTCTATAATAGGACAAGCTGTTGTAATAAATAACTACAAAGAACAGTAGCATAATACAATAGCAGTGTATCATACACAACCATAGTCCAGGAGGTTAGCAAGAAAACCAAGGCTCCTTTCCTACAGGATTCCCCCCTTTCGTAGCAGCATGGAGTATGCCATCAGGTCTGACTAGAAAGTGAACTCTGAGAAAGAAAAGGTTTGGAGAGGAAACCTGAAAGTACCACATGTCATTTCTACCCACTTCCCATGGCCCACGTAACTGCGAGAGGGCCTGGGAAATGCACCTGAGCTATGTACTTGGAAGAAGAAGAAAATGGTATATTAGGAAGCACAGCTTTGGTCACCAGAAAGTAAGGGAACTTTATTTAATTATTTGTGTGTGTGTGTGTGTGTGTGTGTGTGTGTGTGTGTGTGTGTGTATACACAAGAACAATGTACTTCTGTCTCAGTGGATCCTTAAGGGTTTGGGTGGGAAAAACTTTAAATCTGCTTTTACCTTTTACCCTTGCCTGTGCTCTTTCTGTGCACAGGTAAGCTCAACTTGAATGTCTAAGTTGATCCTTCATTCATAGCAATCTGAAAGAGAACAACAGGAAGCTAAGGTCTTAGTTAGAAGATGATCTAAAGGTCTTCTCAACAGTATCTTTGCAGGAACTTCTTTCTTGTGCACTAATCTCAAACAGGAGTTACCTATCAAGAGTAAAAACAGAGCTGAAACCGGTTTGGCTCAGTGGATAGAGCGTCGGTCTGTAAACTGAAAGGTCCCAGGTTTGATTCCAATCAAGGGCAAGTACCTTGGTTGCGGGCACATCACTGGTGGGGGGTGTGCAGGAGGCAACTGGTCGATAATTCTCTCTCATTGATATTTCTAGCTATCTATCTCTCTCTTCCTCTCTGTGAAAAATCAATAATATATATATATATATATATATATATATATATATATATATATATGTAAAAGCAGAAAAGCTAAATCCTTAAAAAGGAACTTTTCTTCATGAAATCATTGCAAAGACAGGGACTTTGGATTTACTTATTTAATTCAGGATCTAAGGATTTATAGCCTTATTTTCCCCCCTTAAAAACCCATTGGAGCAAAGATTTTCAAGGCTAATTTGATAAAGTGCATAAAGTGGACTAAAATCATTGATAAGAGACTGGCCAAGAAAGTCAAATGGCATAAATTTAATATTACAGCAGTTAACTTCTACCCTTCTTGACAGAATGAATCATTTCTGCCATAGATGGTCTTATATTATCTCCCAAATTAATTTGAAATCTTAAATAAGGAATATCTTTTTAAAAATAAATGCAGTGATCCACTCAGTTGGCTGGGCATTGCACTGAAAGGTTGTTTGTTCAATTCCTGGTCAGGGCACATGCTTGGATTTCCAGCTCTATCCTTAGGCAGAGTGTGTGCATGTGCAACAGGCAGCCAATCGCTGTTTCTCTCTCTCTCTCTTTGCCTTCCTTTCTTTCTAAAAATCAGTTTTTAAAAACATTTTAAAAAATGCAATAAGTAAGTTGGCAAAAGGAAAGCTTGATAATTGGGATGCATAAGAATTTAAGCCTCCCATTTTCCATTATAGACTAAAATACAGATCTTCAAGAAAATATGGCAGGTTGAACACATACATTTTTCCATCAGTTCCTTTAAAACTACACGAAAATATTGGCAATGGAATCTTTAAAAATAAAAATGAAAAGAGAATGAGAAACGAATCAATAGTAATAAAATTATTAAGTTAGCAAGCACAACCAATTTAGCATACCTAAGCCAGAAGTAAGAAAATTCAAGAAGCGCCTTCAGTTGGTGGCATTTATGAATTTTTGAAAGGAGAGTGAAGGTAGAGTTAAAAACAGAGTTCTGCCAATTGTGTTTCTTACCAACTCAAACATAGATTGTAAATTATTCCCTGAAGAGGATAGAACAAAAAAAAAAAAAAAAAAAAAAAAAAAAAAAAAAAAAAAAAAAAAAAAAAACACCAAAAACTGTATTGGTAAACCACAGGTACTGTTGATCTTGAGAGTTTTCATGTTGGAAACAGATTATGATTATATGCCAAATATTGAGACAGCATACTTCTCCTACCTGTCTCCCAGAACCTTGCCTTCCAAATTTATATCCATCTCCAGAGATGGAGAATGAAAATTTCTTCTCTGCAGAAATTGTTTAGCCAGAAAGAAAAAGAACTAAATAATAGCAGAGATTTCTCTTTGAAATACCTCAGTCAGATATCACTGCAATGAAGTTCACAGTCAGTGAGCACTACCCATTCAAATATAATTATCAATCAGCTTTTTAGTTTTTTACTCTTGAATATAAATAAACAATGAGGGATACTTTTGACATCAAAGACAAAGAAAAAAACAGGAAAAAAAAGAACTTGAAGGAAACAGAAACCATGGAGAAAAACTTCAGAAAAATAGAAGTTAAGCCCTCCTTAGAAAGATAAGAACATATTGTACCCATGAAATTAAGAACTGGATACTATGAAAAAAGAATAACACGAAAAGGAAAGAGCCGTTGAAAACTAAAATTATTTATGTGTATATGAAGAATTTAAAAGTCAGTATAGGCATTGGAAGACAAAGTTGAAAAATGTCTTAAAAGTAGGGCGAAATACTAAAATTTCTGGGAAATCAGAATCAAGAAGGAGACCTGACACCCACATTGCTGGAGATCTAGCAAGAGAAAACAGTAAAATACAAAAGAAGAAATCAGCCAGGGCATCTCAGACAAGTGGCAACAGCACCTAGAAATTTAAGAAAAAAATTTGTAGGTAAATTGACAATGGAATTAAGAGATTTAGCCATAAGAATAGGAAGTTGTGCCTAGACTCTAGATATATGAATTAAAGATTTCAGAGGTACACATCTAAATTACTAGCTAACATATAATAAGAGCCATTTCCATTAAAATCAGCAACAAATAGGAGCATTTGTCATCACTGTTATATTTACTATTCTGGAAGTTCTGAACAATGCACTGAATCATGAAGCAAAAATAAGAGCTACAACTACAGTCATGCACTACTGATAAGGACATTGGGTGATTTCATCATGTATGGGAAAACAGAGTGCACTTCCCCAAACTGCACACCTAGGCTATATGAGATCTAACCTACTGTAGGGGAGTAAAAATAATTTCCTCTCTACTCAGCTTGGTTCTTGGCTGAGACATCCCTATGATAAATGACAAGAGAAAAACAGAAGTGTAATAACGTGTATCCTCCTGAATATATGAAAGAGACCTAGGAAAACTTAATTTGCCAAAATAGCTGAAGTCACACCTTAAATTCCATCTTCAGCTGCAGACAAAAGAAGCTTGTGGTGGAAGGGATGTAGTTATTGGAGGTTAACAGGAAAAGTATAGTCAACAAGGGAAAGGTTGTTAGGAAGGTTTAAGTCACTGTCTTCTGCATTGATAAGAGTTTCTAAAGATAATGTCACCCCGCTCTTCCTGATACAGAGCAGAAGACACCCTTTGGAGACTGTCCTGTCCCTTAGAAATGTAAATACCTTTTACAAAGAGTAACTTCTACTGGGTTTTCAGAGTTTCTCCTATGTCTACTGTTTCTTAAAATTAACCAGCCTAAAATAATTCTTATACCAAATAGACATATTTGGGGTGACAGATTCTTCCCCTATATCTCCTGGGCTACAAACCTATATAGCATGTTACTGTCCTAAATACTATAGGTAATTATAGCACAATGGTAAGTATTTGTATAATGCATTGCATTACAACATCACTAGGTGATAGGAATTTCTCAGCTCTATTATAATCTTACTAGTGGCCCAGTGCAAGAAATTCGTGCATGGGGCGCAGTGTCCCTCAGCCCGGCCTGCACCCTCTCCAATCTGGGACTCCTAAGGGGATGTCTGCCTGCTAGTCGGATTGCCCCTAACCACTGTGCCTGCTGGCCTGTTCGCCCCCAACTTCCCCAACCCCTCCCTCACTGGCCTGCTCTCCCCTAACCTCCTCTCCCTCAGCCCCACCACCATGACTTTGCCCAGAAAGATATCCGGAAGGTCTCTCGATCTAATTAGTATATTACCCTTTTATTAGTATAGATGGGTCTACCATAGTATATGCCCTCCGTTGTTGACAGAAACCTCATTATGTGGTACATGATTGTACTGGAAAGAGGAAAATGAAGGCATTATTTGAATATAGCATTGTTGTATACCAAGGAAACAAAAGGTAATCAAACCCCAAAATTAGAATTAAAATATACGTTAAAAATATAAAAACAATATAATCAAGTGGCAGGATATGAGGGAAATATTCAAATAGCAATGGTTTTCTCCCATATTACCAGGAAAAGAGTTAGAAACTTTATTGAGGCAATGTTAAAATGGCAACAAAAAAGATAAACTATCCAGGAATAATCTTAATGAGAAATACTTGAGACTTATATGATACTGACATAAGAAACATCCAAATCTACAGAAAGCTGTACAAGAGTTTATTTGAGCCAAACTAATGACAATTGCCGGGAAGCAAATCTTCAATGCTCCCGAGAATGACAGTTTGCAGTTTCTTTTGAGTTAAGGAGGAAATGTAAGGAAGATTGCATGACGGTGGGAGAAAGCAAGGCAGCGATTGGATCACAGGACAGTTATGATTATGTGCTGTCTTGAGGGTGGTTACACCTTCCAAGTGTCTGAAAAAGAGGATTAATTCTGGCATTTCAAGGTGTGCTAAGGTTGTTGCCCATGAACAATGGACAGGCCTGGCTTAACAACCATTCAACAAGGAAGTCCTTGACTTGGACGTGACCACTCACTCTGACCTGCCCAGTTAGGAATTTATGATCAGATCACACTGTAAGGTTCTTCTGTTAGATTTATTACAGCACTCCTTCTTCATCCAAAGAACACAAGACTTCACAGAGAAGTCCAAGTATTTGTTAAAAGGAAAGAAAGAAAAAGACTACATGCTGTTGTAAACGTAATCAAACCAAGTATTTCAGAAAAAAATAGAATTCTGTCAGGTGCTCTTTTAAGCAAATTCTAATTTAAATACAATTGATGCAGCTCTAAAATAGGTAAGCTGAAATGTGTGTGTGTGTGTGTTTTTACCTATTTGTTCTTATATTCTTCCAAGAACTGGTTGTTTATATGTCCTAAAAGTATTGGTAACACTATTTCTTATTTAATATGTTGTATATAGAGTTATACATCAAAAAAATCATCACACAATCCCAAAATTTGTTTCATAAACCACTTTTGTCATCGTCTTAAACATAATTGATACTTGTAATTGCCTTTCTACAGTTCCTCTGGAAGGCCTAAGAAGTCAAAACCAGTTTGAAGAAATGAGAGCAAGCTACATTAGAGAGCTCATCAAGGCAATTGGTTTGAGGCAAAAAGGAGTTGTCTCTAGTTCACAACGTTTCTACCATCTTACAAAGTTTCTTGATAACTTGCATGATGTAAGTATCTCATTCTCTAGAATATCAATGAATATTTTCTGAATTTCTATAACTTTTTAAATATTAAAGCTAAGTTTTACTTCAGATTGTTTCTTTAAATTTATAGTTGTACTTTTATTTTAAAACAGTGTTTGCATAGTACTGCTTAGAATTTATATTTTTCTTTGTTCATTTTTTATATAGATCACCTAAATATCCTCTTAGTATTATTTCTGTAAGTTGAGGGTAATCTAATAGTGATAGGCATTGTGATAGATTTTCCTGAATATGTTCTAAAATATTTTTGTCTTCGGTTGGACAAAATTTATGTGAAAAACAAAAGTATGGATGTGGAAAATAAGCACTATCATAGCATTTTTGGTGGAATTAGAAGTTCATAACAGCCAAAACCAGTTTGGCTCAGTGGATAGAGCGTCGGTCTGTGGACTGAAAAGTCCCAGGTTCGATTTCGGTCAAGGGCATGTACATTGGCACATCCCTGGCATGGGGTGTGCAGGAGGCAGCTGGTTGATGTTTCTCTCTCATTGACGTTTCTAGCTCTCTATCCCTCTTCCTTCCTCTCTGTGGAAAATCAATAAAATATATTAAAAAAGAAAGAAAGAAAGAAAAGATAAGTTAATAACAATTGAGGAGTAAAAAAATATTCCTCTACCCTTCAAGATTCTTTTTTCATAGTAGAAACTCAATCAGATTTGGAAAACAAAATGTATTAGAAATACAGAGGTAAATTTTGAAAACATAGAATAAAAATGTTGAAAGTGATTACATCTAGAGAGCTGGAATATGAATGGGAAGAAGAACTTCAGGAAACTGCTGGGTTTTGTTGTTGCTATTTTTTGTTGTTTATATATTTTGCTTTTTGTTTTGTTTTTGTTTTGCTTTTTACTGTCTTACTGATAAATAATTAATATACATCACTATATAAGTTTAAGGTATACAGCATCTAGGTTTGATTTACTTATATTGTGAAATGATTACCACATTGGATTTATAGGATTAGTTAACACCTACCAAATATATGCACTATATAGTATCTGATGATGATATGTAATATATCATATACACTGAGTAGCTAGATTATTATAATCTCTGAACACATAATAATCTGGCCATTCAGTGTATATCCTATATAATAAAAGGCTAATATTCAAATTGTCCCCTTGACCAAGAGTTTGACCAGCAGGCCGGCTGGCCAACCACCCAAGTCCCCTCCCCCTGGCCAGGCTGGTTGGATGGATCCCACCCATGCACGAATTCATGCACAGGACCTCTAGTACACACACACACACACACACACACACACACACACACACACACACACATACACACACTGAGTGGCCAGATTATTATGATCTCTGAATGCTAGAGGCCTGGTGGATGAATTCTTGCATTTGTATATATAATAAAAGAAAAAAAAAAGCATTTCTCCTTGCAATGAGAACTCTTAGTTTCTACTTACTATCTTAACTTTTTCTGTATATCATACAACACTGCTAACTATAGTCGTCATGTTGTATATAACATCACTAGTATTTATCCTGTAACTGAAAGTTTGTACCTTTTTACCACCTTGCTCCTCTTCTAGCCATCATTTTCCCACTCTGGTTACCAGAAATCTGATCTTTTTTTTAATGAGTTTGGTAGGTTCTTTTTATTATTATTATTAGATTCCACATATGCTAGTGAGACCATACAGCCTTTGTTTGACTTATTTCACTTTGCATTGTGCCTTTATAGTCCATCCACATTATTGCAAATGGTAGGTTTCTTAATTCTTTTTATAGCTGAATAATATTTCATTGTGAATATATTTTATATACACATGCCATCTTCTTTATCGATTAATTCATTGATGAACACGTAGTTTATTTCCACGTCTGTGTGTTGGGAATAATGCTGCTATGAATATGGGGATGCAGATATCTTTTTTAGAGTTTTTGTTTCCTTTGGATATATTCCCAGAAGTGAATATATCTGGATCACATGGTAGTTCTACTTCAGATTTTTTGAGGAACCTCCACACTGCTTTCCATTGAGGCTGTACCAATTTACAATTCCACCAACAGTGTGCAAGGAGTTTCTTTCTTCTCTGCCTCCAGGCCAGCACTTGTTATCTCTTGTCTTTTCACTCAGGGCCCTTCTAACAGGCATAAGGTGATATCTCATTGTGGTTCTCATTTGCATTTCCCTATGATATCTTTTCATGTACCTGTTGGCCATTCTATTCAGGTTTTCACCATTTTTTTAACTTCACCATTTTTAATGTCACCATTTTCTAATTTTACCATTTTTTAATTTCATCATTTTTTAATTGGGTTGGGTTTTTCTTGTGTGTTTGTTTTTTGTTTTGGGTGTGTGTTTTGTTTTGTTTTGGTGGGTTTTTTTTTGCTACTGAGTTATAGGAGTTCTTTATATATTTCAGATAATAATCTCTTACCAGTTATATGATTGGCAAATATTTTTTCCCATACCTTTGGTTGTGTTTTCACTTCATTGATAGTTTCTTTTGATGTGCAGAAACTTTTTAGTCTGATGTAGTCCCCCTTTTTGTTGCTGTTGTTGCTTGTGTTTTAGGTGTGATTTCCAAAGAATCATTACCAAGACTCATGTCAAGGAGCTTTTTTTTTTTTTTTTTTTTTTTTTTTTTTCTATTTTCTACTAGGAATTTAATGTTTTCAGGTCCTACATTTATTTATTTTTTAAATATATTTTTATTGTTTTTAGAGAAGAAGGGAGAGGGAGAAAGAGAAAAGCATCAATGATGAGAGAGAATTATTGATCAGCTGCCTCCTGCATTCCCCCTCCTGGGAATTGAGACCCAAACCCAGTCATGTGCCTGACGGGGAATCAAACCATTACCTCCTGGTTCATAAGTCAATGCTCAACCACTGAGCTATGCCAGTTGGGTAGTCCTACATTTAAATCTTTAATTAATTTCAATGAGTGGTTTAAGATGAGTCAAACTTCATTAAGTATTCTTGGCCCTCTTGTCAAATGTTAGTTGAGCCCCAGCCAGGTGGCTCAGTAGATTGTAGCATTGTACATACAAAAAAAAAAAAGGTGGTAAATTCAGTCCCCAGTCAGGGCACATATATCTAGGCTGTGGGTTCCATACCTGGTCAAGGCATATATGAGAAGCAACCTATCAATGTTTCTCTCTCACATCAATGTTTCTCCCTCTCTCCCATCCTCCCTTCCTCTCTTCCATTTTCTCTAAAATAAATAAACCTATCCTCAAGTGAGGATTTTTTTAAAATTTAGTTGATTATACATACTCTGGTTTATTTCTGGGCTCTTGATTTTGTCCCATTGGTTTGTCTGTTTTTATCACTACAACTTTGTTGTATAGCTTGAAATCAGGAAGTGTAAGTCTCCTGCTTTGTTCTTTCTCAGGATTTCTCTGGCTATTTGAGGTCTTGTGGTCGATTTAAGTTGCTCTTTCTATCTGCTCCAGGACAGGGCACATCTCCCCCTCCACTGCTTATTTTTTTTTAATCTTATTTTACTATTATCACATTACACAGTGTGTGACCTTTTATATATTCTAAAGAGTGGAGCTAGTTATTTTCATTTTGGTAAGAAGAAAACATTGTGGCGAGTATTTATATTATTAGAAAAATAAATTGCCATGCTTGAATAGTATATGAACTTATTATTTTTCTTACATATTTTTTTTCCCATTTGTTAAACCAACAGCTTGTTAAACAACTTCATCTGTACTGCTTGAATACATTTATCCAGTCCCGGGCACTGAGTGTTGAATTTCCAGAAATGATGTCTGAAGTTATTGCTGCACAATTACCCAAAATCTTGGCAGGGATGGTGAAACATCTTCTCTTTCATAAAAAGTGAATTTAATTTTCACTTTTAAAAATTAAGTGTTGTGGTATATCTGTTTTTGTTTGGATCAGGATTATGAGGTCTCAAGTTCTTACAATGTTCTTCTCAAAGCCTTACATTCATGTCATACTGTATAAATTCCAGAGAAAATTGTGAGATTTTAACTTTTTTCATTTATATGGTATAATTAGAATTTTAAGTGTTTTGTGTACACATATTTTCTTTAAGAGTTTACAAGAATGAAAAAGTACTAAAATTTATGGTTAGGTAAACATCATCTTATCCATATTATTCCATATCTGCTTTAGAGAGAAAAAAATCTTACATGTAATACTAAGAAAGCTATTATATATGTTCCTTCTAGGCAGATCCTTTTGTCTCCTTTATTATTTTTTTTAAATGGACATTTCAAATGGTATGCAAAATTTTGTCTACATGAGTGTATATACATTTTTGTTAGAAGGAAATTTATAACCTTTAACAGATTTTCAAGAGTTTTTAAATGCAGAAAATACATAGAGAAAAGGAGTTTAAATTTTTGAAATAGATTGATGTTCCTAAAACTAGGAAAAGTAGCTCATATATAAGACTATTTCCCAGTCTGGGGACATAAATCTCTAAAGAAGTTATTAAGTAGAGCCATAGTATTATGACAATAGTATTGTGGGGTTTATAGTTTTTTGGTTTTTTTTTTTTTTTTTTTTACTAACTTTTGGGAATTGTCCTCTAGTAAGATATTATGAATTGAAATGGGAAGTCAGAAGAGTTGATGGCCTAATTCCACTTTTTACTTGAGAGCATGTGGAAAGTCACTTTACTGGTTCTCAGTTTCCTCACCTTTAACTCTGGTGAAATAATATCTTTATTGCAAAATGTTCCTTTTGATTAGAGATTCTTATTAACATCTTCTCTAATCCAAGAAGCCAAAAATGGAGGGAGAGAGGGAGGGAGGGAGGGAGGGAGAGAAGAAAGGAGGTAGGGAAGGGATAAAAAGAGAGAAGTATTATTTTCTTACTCTACTCAGTGAAGCATAATAGACTAACCACATGTTGAAACTTTTTGAGTGCCTTTGATCTAATTCTAAGAGAGATACTTCAGGGAATACTAGATACTGTCTTAAAGTAATGCAGCCAATTATAATAACTAGAAAACACAATTTTTATTGTCACATGAATGAAAAATATTCTTTTAGATGAGTTCTTTCCTGAGATGAGTCACTGAAGATCTATTTTTTTTCAAAGGATATATATATATAAAGAACTAATACTAAGTTCATTCATAGCACTGGTAAAGTTCAATTGAAATCAATCATTGTTTTCTAGATAAAGTAATTTATACCAAAGGTATATATATTTGCCTATTATAGATCATGTATATGCTACATATATAATTTTTAACAACCCAGAGAAATTAGTACACCCAATTCTTTTTTTTTGAAATGTCTTTAAAGTTAGACATTACCTGACAAATAAAAATGCCTCCTTATGCAAATTAATAGTTGTTAATGAGAAAAATAAAAATAACTTCTAAAAGAATATAGAAAGCACTGAAGTTTGATTTCTTAATGAGTTTTCAATTATTCATTCCATTCAACTGATAAATACTTACAGTTTAACAAGGGACACAAGCATAGAATAATATTCATGAATGCTAGTGTGACCTCCAAAACAAGTTAAAGCGGTTTCATCTAATTTAAAAATCGGCATAATTGGTATCTTTTACTAATAATTTCTTTAGGTTACAAAAGAAAGTTAGCTGTAAGTATCTGTAAATAGCGGATTCTCAGAAGGCATTTGAAGTGGGTGTTAAAACAAGCTCCAACCAGGGCCTTTGCCTGGAGTTCACTAGATGGATCTGGCAAATAAAACAGGTAATATGCAAATCAGATAACTCTTGGTTATAACATTGATAAACAGTTTAACCTAAGTATTCCAAATAGTCTCAACACTAGTATAACAATGGTCTCTTCCTTAGTATGTCTATGCCATGTCTTTTCTGTGAATGCATGTGTATTATAATAGACTCTACTGGTATTCAGTTCTTCAAAGTATTTAAACACCCACACACTCATTCTCTCTGCACTATCCAGGCCAGAGTTATCTTCCTTAAAAGGATCTCATTATGCTAATTCCTCACTGAAAATATTCACTGACTTCCAGTCACTTATTATAGTGATTCTCAAGGATAGCAGCACTTTAGAATCTCCAAGTAAGCTTTTCAAAAACACCTTTAACTGGACTCCTTTCTCAGAGATTATATTTTCTTTGGTATACTTTTCTTATTAATGGCAGCACATAGTAGTAGGAGTCTAAAATGGTGTTAAAGCATCGATTCTTATAACTTGCTTCTCTTTGTCCAACACTGTTATATATTCATCTTATGTTCCAGTCATGTAAATCAATTTTCTACCCACGTTTTCACCCTCGGATACCAGTCCTATATATATCTCAACCTTTAACACTCAGCCAAACATCATTTCTATGTCTTCCCTGCATCTTCCAGGCAATTATTTGCTTCCCCCTAAGGTTTACAGTGGATTTTGTATTACATTTGAATTGCAATAGTGTGTTGTTCTATAATCCCAACTCTCCTACAAGTCTAGGAGCCACCTGGGGTGAGTCAATAACATTTCTTGACCAAAAATTTAATGATTTGTTCTTTCTATAGTTTTGGTATTACTGTGGATCTCTCTCATCCTTTTGTTGTATCACTCCATGTCTTTGCACACATGACTTTATCACCTTCTCTTTCCATGATCCCTCTATCTCTTAATTTCTCTTGACCTTTTTTCAATGTTCCACATTTTCTTTCTACTTTATGAGATCCCTCCTTTTACTGACTATAACATAGGAGAATGTAAGTATATTTTATATTTATTAAGAACACTTAATGCTCCTTGTTCTAAATTTTTGAATTGAGTGAATGGAATATCATTTCCCTCCCTGAGGAAAATTTAGAGAATAAAATTGTTTCTTTATAGTTAGCAGCCCTAAACTGTTTGTATTATAAAACTCAATATGTAAATTTTCCTTATTTCTGATTTCATTCAACAAATATTTATTGAGTACCTGCTATTATCACCAAAAAAAAAAGTGCTATAAGCATTATTCTTCTGTTATTGTTTCTTGTATCTCAAGAAAGTTAGAGTTTGATAATAGGTTTAAGTCACAGTGCCTTAAACAGGAGGCACTCAAATATTTGTTGAATATACAAATGAAAACTACAGTGTGATTTTTGATAGTTCAAAGGATTGTTATGTATAACTTTACTGAGGCAAATGCAGCACAAAATAAAATACTAATTTTAAAATAAATATCAAATAACTCCTTAGTTTTGTCATATCAGAAATTCATTTGCATTAAATCTGTGTGTATATTTGTTGAAAAAGATTTCAATGTCTTTTCTCCATTTTCATCCCAATAAACGCATTTTTAAATTTCATGTATAATAAAGAAAACCTACCAATGTGGGAATGGTACCTCTCAAAATGAACTGTGTGACATAAGTAAATGAATGTAGGTGTGTGCAAAAATAAAAAACAATGTCATTAGCCTTTCACACTCAAGTAATGGACCCAAGAGAACAGTTAATGATGTGATCATTTTGTTATCTGATCTTTTATCTTTGAATTAAAACAATATTTTTACCTCAACACAGATTTAAATTTCAACATAATTTACAAAAAATTTTTTTTAATAATTTTTATTGTCCTGATTTCACAATGTGGTGATCAGAAGGGTTGGGTTTTCTTGTTTTTCAAGCTCACAGGATGTTTGATATATTTTATGTTGTTCTTAATTCATACAGTGAATGTCTAAATACTAGGATTTTAATATTTTGTGCTAATCTTAAAAAAAAAAAAGTTTGTGAAAAAACAACATGACATCACCAAATGGAAGTTATCTAGTCTCTAAATCTTTTGCTCTACAAATTCCCGACTACTGATATCTCTTTTTATGAAGTCATTATAAACTTTATTTTATAGGTCACATTCTTTCTTGTAGCTCTAAAATGAAATTATATAATAAAAAACAGGTTATTTGTCAGAAAATACTTGAAGGTTACTCAAATAGACTATTGAGTTAATGAAATGTTTCCCTTAAAAAGGTTTGAGAAGCCATTTGAGTCTGAAGATATTGTACCTCTAATATCAGTTTTTATATAACAATTTTTGTGTTTCCATTAAAATGGTACTTTATAATTAGCCAACAGTATTATTTTTCATTTATTTAACATTAAAGTAATTTATTACTACACAGATAATACACAATATGCTTCTGCCAAAACAATGCCTTTTCTATAGTTAGGACATATCAACCTCTAACTTGTAAATTACCCACTAACAGCTGCAGTGATATAATTATACTGGAAACTGTGGAAACAGCAGACCTAGGCCTGTGCCCCACTTCTCTGGATTAACTATCTGGATGAGCTTGAGCAAATCACTTCACCTCTCTGATTAAACCTGCCTTTGCTGAATCTTTTTATGAAAATAGAAAACAAGCCAAAACCGGTTTGACTCAGTGGATAAAGCGTCGGCCTGCGGACTGAAGGGTCCCGGGTTCGATTCCGGTCAAGGGCATGTACCTTGGTTGCAGGCACATCCCCAGTAGGGGGTGTGCAAAAGGCAGCTGATTGATGATTCTCTCTCATCGATGTTTCTAACTCTCTATCCCTCTCTCTTCCTCTCTGTAAAAAATTAATAAAATATATTTAAGAAAAAAGAAAAGAAAATAGAAAACAAAAAAGTATACAGGTGTTCAGAAATGGTAACTGTTATTATGTTTTCAGTAAGGTGTAGTTCTAGCTATAACTTTACCAGATTAATTTGGAATATTCTATAGTGAAATCAAGGAACCTAGAAAATTCAGTTTGTTATCTCTATGTACATATGAATATATGATGTATTTGATTTGAAATTAGAGCTAGAAGTATTAAATTAATTTTTTCATTGTCTTTTGAGTTTGGGATCTGTTTCATTGAAAACCTAAAAAGACTACCACCTTTGCATATAAATCCATTAAGAATAATGATACTGATTTTGACATTTTTAAAGTATCTCTTTAAAATATAGAGAGCTTGACTAGAACACAGGCCCTCCAAAATCCAATGCTCAGACCATTTTTACTGTGGCACTAATTCCACAAAAGAGAATAATGAGTCTAGAAATGATGATGATCATCAACCCAAAAAATAATATTCCTGTTCTTAAGAAAGTTATAGTACAAAATATCCACAAGAGATTTTCATGTCTGCCTTGATCTGATATCTTGCATTTCTTTGGCTATTTAAATTCTGGAGTTTTGTTTTGTTTTGTTTTGTTTGCTGTACATACCTAGGTGATTTCTCTCATCTATACTATCTTTTGCACATCAGATTTCAGGATAGAATATGAATTTTTAAAAATTACCTTGACATTCTCCCAAGCATTGTATATAATACCTCAACACTCAAAGAAATTTTTCCCAAATTTAAATTTGTCTCATTTTCATATTCAAGAACTCAACAACCATGTCTCCACTGATAAAGTGAAATGGAAAAGCAGACAGCCCATGGAATGACATTACACTCTTTTGCCCAATGTATGCCTTTTAAATAGTCATTGGGTATTGGGAATTTTGGCATCCCTTAAATTTTACAGGGAATACATAGCCACATAATCTAGTAAGTTTGCCAACCCCTGAATTGCTTATCCTCACTAGACTAAGTCATGTAATGATTATAATGAAAATACTGCTCAGGGTCTGTAGTTTGAAGGTATTTTTCTTAAGTTTTGGTGAAAAGGACAGTCTCAATCTCTACCTAGCATATTTGATGAACCATTATTCCATACTCCCTGGTCCTCATCAAATCCAAAAATTGAACAAAAGCAGTAAAATAATTGACTCTGCACCGAATATTATGGATCTGATCTAACCTCGATTGGTTTTTCAACCATAATCTGGATCCAGCCTGGATGGAGCCCAGAGAAGGACATTCAATCTATAACACATCCATCCTTATTGAAACTCAGGAAAAAAAAAAAAAAAAGGCCCTGTGGAGCTTATGTTACCTTATTTAAGGGGCTAAATAGATCCTATAGCTTCAAAGTTAAGCCTGAAATAAGGTGGCCATAGAAACATTGAAAGTAAGAAGCCAAGAGTAGGTTAATAATTTGTCCTCCCTGTCATTGCAGAAGATCTAGGAATTTCGGAGGTGTTGGTGGTAAGTTAAAAAAAGCAGAAGTTCAGAGCAGCCGTGACTTAATACATACTCTACCTGAATGTCCTATAGACAAAGCAAAGAAAAACATTCAGGGATGGGTCTGTTCCTCTCCGTGGAGTTGGCCAGGTTCCAAGGCAGAGTTCCGGGCACAGGCCTGGGGGCTGCGTCCTGGCATGTCTGCCGCCTCGTGCAGCTGCGGAGTTTGGAAGACTGTTGCTGGACTGCTGGATTCGCCCCAGAATGTCAACCTCATTTTCAATTTACTGACTCTTGTTCCTTTGTGTCAGGCTGACCTTACTGTTAAACACGAGTTTGTTTGCTTTCTTTCCACTCATGGAGAAATGGGGAAAGCATTACTTCTAAGCCGGTTGAAAGTTTTAACTGACAAAGCGCTCTGAAGGAAATGTGAAGTAAGCAGCTAAGGAAGCATATCCTGTTCCTTTTCTTTAACGAAAATGGATGGTATTATTAGCCCTGCAGTGTGATGGCAGTATCGTGGTCAAATATGTAGAGAGACATGAGCAAAATATTTAAATGGTAATGTACATAGGTATCAAGTCATATATGGTAGCTTATTTCTATAATATTTTGAAATTGCTCTTAAAACATCAAATCCTGATATATCCAAGTTAGCATAGAAATGATTCTAAACAAAACCCACTTAGACATATTTCCTTTAGTCAATTATACATAAAGCTTGACATTTTTTCTTCTAAGATTTTTACTTACCTGTGTGTTCTTACTGTTAAAGAATTATTTCTAAAAGGCAGTTGTTTTAGCCCTGGCCAGTTTTGCTCAGCAGTTAGAGCTTCAGCCTGTGGACTAAGGCGTCTTGGGTTCTATTCCTGGTCAAGGGCACGAACCTGGGTTGCAGGATCCCCACCTCAGTTCAGTGTGTGCAGGAGGCGGCCCATTGATATGTGTGTCTCTCACATCTCACATCAATATTTCTCTCCCTCCCTTTATCCCTCTCACTTTCTCAGGAAAGTCAGTGGAAGGAAAATCCTTGTGTGGGGATTAACAGAAGAAAAAACTTTTTAAACTTTTTGCCACCACAAATACCATTTACTATCTCCTTCTCTCAGAAAAGCTTATATTTTATAGTATCTCCCCACAAAACTATTGCTATTAAGAAATGGTTGTTTTGTTTTCTTGTTTTATTATTAAACGACATAAATTTAAGCTGTTGAGCAGTATAACAATTAATTCCATACTGATTTAATATATCTTATGCAATTTTAACTTAGTAGTTACAAAATTGGGGTGGGGGGAGGAGAGGGAGATGGATATCTATCATATAGCTCTCCTAAACTAAGTTTAGAGCCAGAGATCTGAGGTAATAATAAATTATTTAAAAGTAAGTCTTGTTCTTATAAAAGCTTTAAAACTCATGAGAAAGACCAAAAACTGTTATAGGGAGTTAATGTAAGCATACTGCATTCTTGTCAAAATAAAGATATACAGCTCTGCTTGTTCACCATTAGGGCAAACTACTATCCAAAATTTACTGAAAATGGTGACCCCTATATTTGAGATAACTAGGGGTGAAAAGAGGTTTTCACAGTCTTTAGAATTTATCACTTTAACCAATAAAGCATGTCCTTATGACCTGAGTATTTTGTGTCTTTTAACTTTTCTGATATGTGCATATCCACAGGAAAAATTGGAGTAAAGAGATTAAAAAAAAAACAAAGCACAAAAACTTTTCATTTAAATGTTTTTTGGAGAAAAACAGAAGAAAAGCTCTTTGTATTTTGGAAGGAGTAAATATTACTTACAAAAGTGAAAAAAAGATCTCCTCTAAATAATAGCTTAAATATTTCTTCTTGATTATTGAGCAAGCAGATGACACAAAAATGGGTGATTACAGTGATAACAATGCTAAATGTTAAGGAAATTATTCACTATCCAAACTTAAAATGTTAATGTGCTCAGAGACTTGCTTTTTGCTTCTTAAGAAAGTCCCTCATTTTCTAATTTAAGGCTACATGGTTTCGGAGGGGGCGGTTCATGATCTCTAAGATTCTGTTTGGTTGCCAATTGGATGTCTTAACAGAAGGAGATAAAGAGAAATGAGAGAGGTGAAAGAAAGAAATTAATAAAGAGAAAGAAGGGAGGAGGAAAGA